TTCTTTTGACTGTCGATTGGTGCTTAATGCATCTGTATTTGTGACATTTGTGAATGGAGCTGGTTGATAGCCTATGGGTACGCTTCGCTCGGATTTTCGATCCTGAAAAGTTAAACGTCAGCAAGCATTAGAGCACTCTATTCATTATTGTCGTTGCAGCACAGAGTGAACACGTGGGTTGAAGTATCATAGTACATTCTAAAGTACAGTGATAGGCTATCAATTAAGTGATATATTGAGAGAAGTATGATAGTGCGATTATCAGTTCACTATAATGATAACCTGGATTGATTTATAGCCCGAAGTGTTGCTGCTGCTGCTGGTGAACGTTTGTTGCTTTGAAGGGTGTACTTGATCAACAACAATTTTATTGTCTTGCTCAGTGAGATTCCACGGTAATGTGGGATGTGAAGTGATATATCTGAAAGTTTGTTGAAACGTTCTGTTCTGTGTTGATCTTCGAACAACACTCATCTTCTGTTGCTCAGTGAGATTCCTTGGTAAAGTTTGAAACAAATCACAAATGCTAAAAGCATTCACCAAACCCCTCAGGGGGGACTTTGGTCAGGCCATTACTTCACTTTTTGGATCAAAAAACATTCGTGAGATAATTTGTTTCTGGTTCTTTATTCATCAATTATCATTGTATCTCAACAAAATGGGATTTCAATTCACAGATAAATCAAAAAGAAGGATAGTATAAACGAACACCTTTTCAAGATTATATTCATTTCGTCGGATGGTCGTCCGATTATATTGTTAGCCTCATGTAGAGGCATTCCACTTACATTACGTCCTGCCAGTTCTGTGACAGTATCATTCGCTTCGATGCCAGCCTTATGAGCAAGGCTTTCTTTATCAACCTGAATAGTGGCATTCTTGCGATTTACTGCATCTTAAGATAACTTGTGGATCTTATGATCAGCCATCTTCCATCTTGAAGCATCACGTTTTGAAGTGAGATGAATATCTAACAGATAATTTTTAGATTCCGTTTCATTGCTACTATAAGAACTTTATGTTGCGAAAGTCATCTTAATATCTAAGTATTGCCTGAGAACAATCTAAATGTTGTGGCTTTCATTCAGTGGAACCGTAAAAGCTAGCTTTTTTTAATTATGATGACACATATAACCTGTAACTACTCACCGAAGCAACGGTCAACACTCCAGACGTTGTGCTGCGCAGTGAAAATCCCCACGGAATCGATGCATTGCTCCGATTCATACGTACCTTTACGGTTTCATATGCCATTTTGATAGGTTTCACAAATCTTGAATTTCCAGAAAACTTCTTCATAACGATGTAAAAATTAAGACAAATTTGTAATTACACGTCAGTGAACGTCCAATAAGAATGTATTCATCGTAGTGAGATAATTGACACTGAGATCAAATATACAGAGTTCAGCGCTATGATAGAACAGCTAACAATAAGCTCGAAGATAGACCTCTGGAAATTTAGCTACATGACTGAAACTAAGTATTTTTCATCAACAACATATATACTTTTCTGAAAGCAGAGAATCTGCTGAATCTAATGATGCATAGAAATCACTGTGTTGTTGGGCAAAATTGAGGATACAGCTAGCTCGACTAAGGTAAATCTGATATTTCTGTATAGTATTGCATTAATGATTGATATGGAGATCAACTGCGTATAGTTCAGCGGTTAATGATATCGCTCAACTATATAAGTTCAAAAATTAAGCAGTTTCTTTAGAAATAAGTATGTTTCGTCAACAATGCATGCAATTCTCTAGGAACAATTCTCTGCTTTCAGAAAAGTATATATCTGGTTCATGAAACTGCTGAAACCACTAGTGTATGGAAGTAATCATACTGCTGAACAAACCCGAAGATACAGATGGTTTACGAATGGTAATCCAGAATGATCAATGATAACATCATACAAAATCATAAAAATTCCGAAAAAGCACCACTCTTTATATAAGCAGTAATAACTGCGGTAGGATCTATCAGCGATGGGCACATATAACATGGTATTAAGCAGGCTCTATATCCCCGTCATTTATTAAACGAGAAGTTGAGATACAGTGAACTGGTAGGATACAAATGTAATGGCAGGTGAATTGGTAGACTGAACTACCTAAGCTTAGCTGTAGACTGTTTGCTTGTT